CCAGTTTGGGGAATTAGGAAGGTTTCTTAGCAGGTGCTGATACCTTTTGAGTCGCTCTCAGCTTTGTCTGTGTCCTCTTGTCTTCCATATGTGTATGTGAATGTGGTGTGGCCGGGATTGTGCTTTTCGTCTGTGGGTTCGCGCGTCTGCTCATGCATCAATATTTTTTTTTGTTTTTTTGTTTTTTTGTTTGTGACAGAGGTCTGTCACTTTGTTAGTCCAGCTAGAGTTGAGTGCGTGGCGTGCAGCTATCTCACAACAACCTCGCAAACTCCTGGGCGCTCGAGGTGATCCTTCTGCCTCAGGCTCCCGAGTAGCTGGGGACTACATGGGCATGGCCACCTATGCGGCTGTTTGGGCGTAACAGTAGTATATCCGTTGGGCCAATTAATTTCTTTCGCTTTTATTAGTAGAGAACGGGGTCTCGCTTGGCCTCAGGGCTGGGTTTTGAAAAACTGTCTGACCTGTGCCCGCCTCGGCGGTGTGGTTGTCACACGGCGTGAGCGTCACAAGCCCCGGCCCATCGTCAATATTTTTTAATCTCAGATTCTTTATTTACTAGCTAGGCGCATTGTGATTTATTTTAGTTTCCTTTTTCGATTCCTACCGTACCCTACCTAGTTTTTTGAGCCAAGGTCTTGCTGCTGTCACCCGGCTGGAGGGCAGTGGTGCGGATCATAGCTCACAGCAACCTCGAACTCCTGGTTCCAGCCATCTTCCGCTCAGCTCGCCTGAATCGTTGGGACGCAAGGCGTAGAACCTGGCAATTGCCTGGCCATTGATTCGTTTTTCAAAATAGTGCATATTATAATTGCATCCTACATTTTAGTTTTCCATGGCAGGATCTGTGCCAGGTCTGCTCCGTACTGCGCAACCCGGCTTGATTTACACCTGCACATGAAACCTGTGGTCTGGTGGAGGCAGTCACAGGAAAAGGAGAGCGCAAGAAACTGTACAGTCCCTTGCTGAGTTGTTGAGAAGCAGTGTTCAAGAAGGCAGTAGATTGGAGCACCCTGAGTGTCAGAAGTACCCGCACACTAAAAACACCTATGTCAGAAGGAGTCTGGTCTGACGAGCAGCGACAGACTGTCCTAGCCACCTCAGGCACCTTAACATGTGGATCATATGAATCAATTCAGGGTTCATGATTTGATTAAGAATATATTGTCAGCGATCCATGTACCAATCAGCGCAGTACATTTCCAAATTTAAGAAAACAACATACTCCAGTTTACAGTGCCTCTTAAAGCCTGGCTACAAAATAAAGTCTTACAAGTTAAAGACCTGCACAGCGAAATTTATGGTGTGCAACACAGTGACAACCGACGCAGCCCTGACAGCGAATGAAAGTGCAGCACCCGCCAGCGCAGCGACGCCCACGCCTGAGGCAGAGCGCCTGGGCCATGCCGCCGTGTCGGAGTGCTCCTCCCGCACCGCGCTGTCGCCCGCCGGCAGCCTGCTGGGGCAGAGGCGCCTCGGGGCCCGCCGCGGGTCGGAGTGCACCCCCCGCCACCGCGGCTGTCCCGCCGGCAGGTCCTGCTTGAGCAGAGGCGCCTGGCGCGCCGGGCGAGTGCTCCCCTGCACGCGCATGTCCGCGCGGGAGGTTCCTGCTGAGGCAGAGGCGCCTCGGGCCTGCCGCGCGGGTCGGAGCTGCTCCGCCCTGCCCACCGCGCTGTCCCGCGGCAGTCCTGCTGGGCAGAGGGCGCGGTCGGGCCTGCGCCGGGTCGAGTGCTCCCCCCACGCCACGCGCTGTCCCGCCAGCAGTCCTGCTGAGCAAGGCGCCTGGGCCTGCCGCCGGGTCGGAGTCGCTCCCCCGCCCCACCGGCGCTGATCCCGCCGGCAGGTCCTGCATGAAGGCAGAGGCGCCTCGGCTGCCGCCAGGTCGGAGTGCCCCCGCCACCGCGTGTCCGCCGGCAGGTCTGCTGAGGGCAGAGGCGCCTGCCTGCGCCGGGTCGGTGTGCTCCCCCCGCCACCGCGCGTCCCGCCGGCAGGTCCTGCTGAATGAGGCAGAGGCGCCTCGGGCCTGCCGCCAGGTCGGAGTGCTCCCCCCGCCACCGCGCTGTCCCGCCGGCAGGTCCTGCTGAGGCAGAGGCGCCTGGGCCTGCCGCCGGGTCGGAGTGCTCCCCCCGCCACTGCGCTGTCCTGCCGGCAGGCCCTGCTGACACGCGCCCAGACCTGCTTCTCCTGCCACCTCTTTCCAAGCTTTGGGCACCATGATTTCAAGAGTTTATCATATCCCGGGACATACTAGGCCCTCATAAAACATTAACTCCCCTTCTCTGAGCACTGTGTTTAAAGGACAGTGTGGGCCAGAGCAGGGAGAGGAGCGAAGGCTCCTGAGAAATGTGAAAGTGAGGCCGGGCCAGGAGACGGGCAGGAGTCAAGGGGAGGGAGGGCGGCTGCAGCTAGAGGGCGCAGCAGGAACACGGGCATGGGCCTGCGGAGCCACGGCTGGAGGCTTGATGGGTGCAGCAAGACAAGACTGTAACAGAAGGTGATGCCAAGCACAGGTCTGATCCGACCCTCGGCAAAGCCTCACCTGTGCTTGCTGAAGACAGAGTTATCCAGAACAATCTTCTCCAGCAGCTCACTCAGTTCGTTAGGCAGGTCAGCTGCCATAAAGGCTTTGACGGTGACTGAGACCTCTTCAGGATCCTGTGTTTCTGACAAAGCTATTTGTACAACCTGGGTTCAAAAAGCATTTGAAAAAACTTGATTAAAGTCAATTCAAGACTATATCTTTTAAGCTAAACAGGAAAGAGTCTTCGAAGAAAAGAAGGACTACTCCAAGACAATCTGGAACAGTCAAAGAGAAGAGGGGAGATTTCTCAAGATAGAAGGGGAAGGGCATCTAAAACAGTCAGCTTCAGGGAATTCGTAGTTTGATCTACTTTGAAAATTAGCTTTTCTCTCACACTGAATGGGCTATAGACTCTTACCTCTGCTCCAACGACCATACTGTCTAAATTTACTCCAAAGTGAGTAACACAGTACACCACATAGGCATTTGAAATGCATGTCTGCTGTTATCTTTGTTTTTTAAAGCTACTATCCATAGCAAATGTGGCTCCATTTCTCCAATGAGGAACCTGTGGGGGCCTCAGCAGCCTCTTGGTAGCAGAGCCCACCCTTGCTATGAAACAGTCCATTTCTGGCACACACGGCCAAGTACAACCAGAGCTGCGGAGCCGCGCTGTGAAGGAAGGACTGCCAACACACCTGTGGTTGGGAAGACCAGCACTGCTCTCTTTGCACTCTGTGCCAGGGGCCTTCAGTGACTTTGGAGACCTATCATTTTTGCCAAGTTTCTGGTATTCCTCAGAGGTGGGCATCAGCAGTGTATTAATGAGGGAGAACAGACGGTCTTATGTAGCTGACATACCCCTTTGGCCACGAACTTTCACTCTGCCATCTTGAGAGGCCTTCATGGATCCAGGGTCAAAGCCAGCCCACCCACTTTTTGGATGTAGATGGCCTCTGGGAACTCAATGGTACTGGAGGATGTGGAAGTTCCACCTCTGTGGAGTTAACAACCATTGCAACAGAATGCAGATGGGTTAGGGAAAAGGAGCTATCACAGTAGCTAAGTAACCAAAGAGGGAACACCTGAGGGAAAGGGTACTGTGACACAACACACCTCGTCCATCCACAGAAAGAGATGAATTTCCAACAGTGACATCTAATTGTTACTTCTTGAACACCTTAGTTTATATAAACACACACAGGTTGTTTTAAGGGCAAAAATAAATTTCCACCATCTTTTTGAGCCAATACAGGATACCCAACCTAAGGTTACCTTGGGAGCTGCTTCCTCTCAGTAAACTTCTCTACTCGGATGCTGAAAGCAGGCTGCCTCTGTCATTATGCACTCCCAATTAGAGTGGCACTGTAGTTGTGTCCCACCAGGAGGTGGCCACAGATATTCAATTACGGCAGACATAATGACTGGATTAGCAGCTCCACACAGAGACAGGAGGACAAGAGGCACTGGCTGGTGGTGGCTCACGCCTGTAATCCTAGCACTCTGGGAGGCCGAGGTGGGCGGATCGCTCAAGGTCAGGAGTTCAAGAACACCCTGAGCAAGAGCGAGACCCCGTCTCTACTATAAATAGAAAGAAATTAATTGGACAACTAAATATATATAGAAAAAATTAGCTGGGCATGGTGGCGGATCGCTTGAGGTCAGGAGTTCGAGAACACCCTGAGCAAGAGCAAGACCTCGTCTCTACTATAAATAGAAATAAATTAATTGGACAACTAAAAATATATAGAAAAAATTAGCCGGGCATGGTGGTGCATGCCTGTAGTCCCAGCTACTCGGGAGGCTGAGGCAGGAGGATTGCTTGAGCCCAGGAGATTGAGGTTGCTGTGAGCGAGGCTGACGCCACGGCACTCACTCTAGCCTGGGCAACAGAGTGAGACTCTGTCTCAAAAAAAATAAAATAAAATGAAGAGGCGCCAGCTGGCTTTAGTTTGGCGCAGTGTTAAAGCAGCTCTTCCCCAGTGCCAACTTGAGGCCGCCTTCACCTACCAGGGGGCTGGGCTACTCCCCGAGAAATGTCTGATGTCTGTGCACTTAGAGTAGATCCTCAGCAGAATCTAAGCCAACTCTGTCCTGGGCCTTTGTTATTTAATGTTTATACCAGATTTGGATGGGTAAATCCAAAGTTGATATAGCAGAGGTTCAAGCCAACATGGTCTTCTGTAAATCTAAAAGCATTTCAAAATAAAAAGTTATTTTAAAAAATAATGGCACAGGCTTGAGGAAACGGTGGACAGAAAATTAGAAGATGAAACTCAGTAGAAATAAAGGTGAAATCCAGCCTTGAGTGTAAAGTACCTGCTCAGCAGGTCGGCAAGCGTGTATGAGGGAGGCTGGAGCTTTAACTGGTCACATACTCGGGCTGAAGCCACCGCGGGGCCAGGGATCTGCTCCCGCGCTGGCCTTAGCCATCCCTAAGAAGCATGCCCAGCAGCCCATGGGACAGTGCTGAGGACATGGAGGCTGCGAGGGAGAGCAGCGTCTTCCAGAGGTGTGGGAGCCTGCCCAGGGGCCGAGGCAGACCTCCACCTGCCAGGCTGCACCGAGTAATGACCCCTGGCCCCTGGACTCTGCTCCAGCTCCCAGGAGGTGCTGGACAGTCACATGGCACAAGGGGTTCCTTGACAAAGGGAAGTCAAGTTGAGACAAATTTGAGAGCCACTTAACTGCTATCAATAGGGGCTGATCTAGAAAAGCAATCAGGGACCCAGCAGGCAGGCATGCCAGCAGGGGCTCTGACTGGGCTGCAGATCCCTGCTTTAGACTGGGCCAAGCCTATGCCCTTAGCTAATAAACAACTCCACTTCAGCTCACCCTCAGGGGCCAAGCTGTTTTTAGACAAGCTATTTCTGCAGGGAAGAAAGTTCTTTTTTTTTTTTTGCAGGATGAAATTACATGACTACAGCTAGGGAAGAAAGTTCTTCTTCTTATGTTTTATTTATTTATTTTTTTGAGACAGAGTCTCACTCTGTTGCCCAGGCTAGAGTGAGTGCCGTGGCGTCAGCCTAGCTCACAGCAACCTCAAACTCCTGGCCTCAAGCAATCTTCCTGCCTCAGCCTCCCAAGTAGCTGGGACTATAGGTGTGTGCCACCATGCCTGGCTAATTTTTTTTTTTTTTTTTTGAGACACAGTCTTGCTTTGTTGCCCAGGCTAGAGTGAGTGCCGTGGCATCAGCCTAGCTCACAGCAACCTCAAACTCGTGGGCTCAAGCGATCCTGCTGCCTCAGCCTCCCAGGTAGCTGGGACTACAGGCATGTGCCACCCTGCCCGGCTTACTTTTACTATATATATTAGTTGGCCAATTAATTTCTTTCTATTTTTAGTGGAGATGGGGTCTTGCTCTTGCTCAGGTGCCCGGCCTGGCTAATTTTTTCTATATATTTTTAGTTGTCCAATTAATTTCTATTTTTTAGTAGAGACAGGGTCTCGCTCTTGCTCAGGCTGGTCTCAAACTCCTAAGCTCAAACGATCCTCCCACCTTGGCCTCCCAGAGTGCTAGGATTACAGGCGTGAGCCACCGCGCCTGGCCACTAAGATATTTTGGATGTAATCATTAAACCAGTCACTTGAGCCACAAGATGATTAGAGGGCAAATGCAGGCGCAGACATACCCACCCCTGAGCCTCACCTGGCCAATCAGCTGTCTCCTGGATGCGTTGGTCTCCTTGAGGACATGAGCCCAGAGCTCCGGATCCTTCCTGTGCACCAGGTGGCGGGCCTCGCTTTGAACAGAGAATTCTCATTGCAAACCTGAAATGAGCACACCTGTGTGTGTAACACAAGCAGCCAACTGAGGAACACTACTGGGGAGGACATATCCCAGGCAGTTCCCTCTGTCCCTGACACTTGTTTGTTGGACAACTGGTGCCCAGTGAGGCACTGTGATTCGACACACGATGAACAGCATCCTACAGGGTTAACACTGCACTCCTCACAGAGACAAACTACCTCAAAATGCCTCTTCTTAAGTTTCTAACAGCTTACAGGGACGTGCCTCAGCTCCGGCCAGTGGGACTGTCTGCAATGACGGGTGTGTTCTCTGTCCTGTGCTGCCTGATACGGCCACTTCTGGCCACAGCAGATTACTGAGTGCTTAAAATGCAGGGCGCACCAAGGAACTAATTTAAATTTTAGTTAATTTAAATTTAAGCACTCACATGTAGCTAGGTAAACCATCTCTAAAGTGTTAACAAACAGCTTAGAACTGGTATAAAACAGCACATACACTGCAACATTTCAAAGCCTAAAAACTTTAAAATATGCCTTCGGTGACTGATCCTGAGACCCTTTTCTGAATATAATAACAGATTTTCAAATGCCAGTTGTCCACTGGAATGTTCCAATATGTGAGCCACTTGCTAAATCCTGGTGAGAATCTACTAAGTACGGGATGCCAGGCTCAAGGCTGAGTGATGCACATGTCATGAATGCAGTGCAGGTGGCCAGGGTGGCGTGGTGACAATCTCACTGGCACCTTGCCTCCAAATCATACCGCAGCGCTCTTCTGGATGAAGTACACCTTAGTGAATAATTCCTTTATGATAATTCCTTCAGCCTTACTAAAAGGACACCTCACCTCAGCACAGACAAGTGCTAAGATCTCAGAGATCATTTAGCTGTGCTTTAATAAAAGGGTGGTATATAAAGCCAGAGAGTGGCTCACTGGTATCGAATAAACTAAAGTCCCAGTTTTACAAACACTAGTCCCCCCAGAGACTTCAAGTGGAGAGGCTATGTCTACTTAGCCTTGTCACCTCCATGGTCAATGTCCACAAACTAGGGTAGCTGAGATGCTGGGGCACTGTTTTCCGTCTTCAACTCCACATGCTCATGCCCTCACACACACCTTCCCCAGCAGGTACACCACGTGCTGAGACATGCCGAGGTGCTGGGGACAAGTAGACCAACTGCTGGATTTTTAGGTCAAATGGTTAAGTATTCATTTTGGTTCAACCTAAACATGTAACTTCATTCATGTAGGTCCAAGCCTGGGCAGATGTAGGCAGGAGACCTGGACTTCAAGGAGAGGCCAGCAAGAGCTAGGTCAGCCAGGAAGATGGGGGTAGAGCTTGTGTAAGGGTACAAAGGGGGTAGGAGGCATCCAGGGACCTGCAGGCCACTCCAGGTGGGGTGGCAGGAGGGGCGGCTGGGCAGGCGGGAGTTGGGTGGCAGTCCACAGAGAAACTCATGGGTCAGGCTAAGAAGTTTCATTTTGCTCGCAAGTTACCATGTAACACTGAGGACTATGAGCAGAAGAGTAATGGGTCGGATCTGGGCCAACTACACAGAGATGATAGATATAAACTGTGGAACAGGTCCCCAAAAGGGGTCAGAGTTATAAAGGAAATTGAGTCTGTGGAAATGCTCTCATGATCCACGGTCCCCAGGGGCAGAAAGCCCTGATCAGTCCCCAGAGGCACAATTTGAAGCCCTGACCCACGAGGCCAGCGCAACACAGGCAGCTAAGTGTATCTGCTGCCCACCTTGATGAGCTCAAGGTCACACTGGCCCTGCTCACAGGCGACACAGGCCAGATGTGGTCCCGTTTCTCCCAGGACCGGCCACCACGCGGCTGTCACAGTAGGCGTCCCCTCTCGGGAGCGCTCAGGGCTGTTACTGCTGTCGACGCAGATCTTTGTGAGTGTGTTGCGAGTGGCAGGGTCTTTGCAGCCCTCCTGAGTCCGAGACTCCAGCCAGGGAAGCAGCAAACTGAGCCTTTGAAAGAAGGAAGGTACCTTAAGTCTCCATGCTACCACCAGAAATCTCCAGGGCAACCCCTGGGCTCTGAGGGTTGCTTCTTGAAACAAAATTTCTCCATTAACTTCAGGTTGCTCTAGAGATCAGGATAAACCTGGTTTCCAAATTGATTTCAATTGTTAAGTTTTTCCCCAAGGTCTTCAGTACCAATAGCAACTCAATACTAGATCTAAGATGTACACGAATGACCAGCGACAGAGACAGTCCTGGAGCTGGGAGGCCAACCATGAAAGCATCTTGGAGAATTAGTCAGCGACTTAACAACAGACACTAGAATTCAGGGGCAAGAGAAGACACCAAGTAAGGACACCATACCTATTTCTTTTTTCTGCTTCGGCCACCAGCTCATCAGTAGAGAACTGTCCTCTCACTGCCATGATTAAGTTTTTAATCACTTCCTCAGAACAATCCACATCAAGCAGCCCTCCAACCACAGCTGGTGTCCGGCTAGGGTTGACCTGGAGTAGTCAAGGTGGCGACTTAAGTGCTGCACATACAAGCCATTGCTAGAAGCCCCCAGGATTTGAAAAGTGTGGATAAAATCCTGAAAGGGCTCCTGTTTAGGACTGAACTGTGTCCTACCAAAATTCCTGTTGAAGCCCTAACTTCCAATGGGACTCTATTTGGAGAGAAGGCAATTAAGGAGGTAGTTAATGTTGAGCATGGAGCCCTAATCCAATAGGACCGGCATCCTCATAAGAAGAGGAAGAGATACCCGAGTGCACACGCACAGAGGAAAAGCCACATGGGAACACAGTGGGGAGGCTGTCTGCAATCCTGGAAGAAAGCCCTCCCCAGGAACCAACCCTGCTAGCACCTTGATCTTGGACTTCCAACTTCCAGAAGTGTGAGAAATAAATTTCCATTAATTAAGCCACCAGCCTGTGCTGTTCTAGTCTGCAGCCTGTGTAGACTGATACACCACTCTTCAGACTGACAGTCTCCAGTTGTCCTGGAGTCAGAGGCAGCTCATCAGGTGCAGACTATCACCATCGACCATGTCACCTGGGAGCTGGCAATACCGTCTGCACATGAATCTCGATGAACTTCTGCAGACTGTTGCGGTACAAATACAAGGCGAGGTCGCGGACAAAGTCAAATCGATCACACACGATGATGAGGGGAAGCTGGTCTGTGAGCTTGGCCTCCTGAGGGTGAGAATGCACAGAGCAAGTCAGGAGTGGAGATGCCAGAGCCAGAACCCGGGGCTCACAGCCCCACACGGGATGGAGCTGCCTCTGCAGAAGAGAGAACCACAGAGACTCAGAATGAGAGTTTGGGCCGGGCGCGGTGGCTCACGCCTGTAATCCCAGCACTCTGGGAGGCCGAGGCGGGCGGATTGCTTGAGGTCAGGAGTTTGAAACCAACCTGAGCAATAGCGAGATCCAGTCTCTACTATAAATAGAAAGAAATTAATTGGCCAACTAATATATATAGAAAAAATTAGCCGGGCATGGTGGCGCATGCCTGTAGTCCCAGCTACTTGGGAGGCTGAGGCAGCAGGATTGCTTGAGCCCAGGAGATTGAGGTTGCTGTGAGCTAGGCTGACGCCACAGCACTCACTCTAGCCCGGGCAACAAAGCGAGACTCTGTCTCAAAAAAATAAATAAATAAAAAATAAAAGAATGAGACTTAGTTCTAGATATGCTGTCATTTTGGGATGTCATGTTTGCTTTCTTTGGGAAACAAGTGGGGGGGGAAAAGGTAATATTATTTGGTAAAGACTGTTACATTTGGCAACGACATCCTAAATCTGGATATTGTTTGGGATAAGACAAGCAGCTCATTATTTGTAAACCCAACACAGGACAGGCAGCTCTCCAACAGCGCACTTGTGGTAAAGGTGGCCTTTTCAGACAAGCAGCCACGGGCCACGGAAACACACTGTGCACTGTTTCCAAGAGTGACAGCACTTGGGCAGGACTGCCACAGGCCACCAGAATCACACCTCGCCTTATTTGGACCCAGCCCTGGTTTACATTTCCCAGATTCCCTTGAAGTTTTAGGTGTGACCATGTGACCTCATTTCTTCCAAGGAAGTGTGAATCATAATGTCATCTGCCACTTGCAGACCTTACCCATAACAGTCACCCATGCAGGTTCCTCTACGTTCTTCTCTCTCCCTGGCTGGCAAGGCAACATTCCAGGACGTATTAAAGATAGTGAAGCAGCCATCAGCCTGGTCCTTGAAGGATGGCAGGAACGAAAGCCACTCCACTTATGTCCATGGCCACCCAGCACTGTCACATGAGAAAGAGGCAGGCTCCCTGTCCTTCATGCCACTAGCACCGAGTGGCCCATGCATTTCTGCAGCCTCACCCCACCTCACCGACAGGGGCACAGTCGAGCTGTTGCCAGTCACAATGCAGCGATAACCTAACTCCTTCCACCCACACACCAGAGAGTTGAGAGCATAGTCTCAAGTGTCTCTCCACAAAGGGGTCTTGAAACGATAGACAGGTTCCTCTAAGAACTTTAAACAGTAAAGTAGAGACCTGTTGTTGGGGACTAAGGGTGGCCTGGCGAGACAGATGCAGTGTTCTGCCTCAGGAAGTCATGCCAAGGGTCTGCCCACCTGCCATCAGTGAGGGCAGCTCATGGAAGGAGGAGGAGCTGGACGCCTTCAGGAAGTTCTTCACATGCTCCGGGTTGTAGCAGCCACTCTCTCAGCATATCCATTCCACCTCCTTGATCTGCCCCGTCTTACAGGCGGCCTGGATGTATTTCAAATGCGCGTCTGGATCTTGGCTGAGGTTGACGATCGAGCCCAGGAAGTAGAAGAGGCCTGTGAGAAGAGACTGCACCATTTCTGTCTTCATAACACCCACCTGCCTTCTCCATAGCTGCTGCAGCCTTCCCGTGGTGACCCAGCCATGACAACCCTGCTCCGTTCTCCAGGTACCCATGGCCCACTCAGAACTCATGATCTATATGAAGTTTGTCTGCTTTGACATCTCCAGAAAATAGCCAGTCAGATTTCTACCATTTTGGGAGGCATACCTGGGATGTTTTGATGTAAACGATTGGTTATTTGGTGTATGTGGAATTCCTTCTGGGACCCAGGTACACGTCGGATGTATCTTTAAGAGCAACTCCCAGTGAGGTAACCTGAGAGGGCTATGGGACAGGGAAAATAAGCAATGGCTGTAACAGGAGCCTCCGCACAAAGAGGCCGAGACCTGAACTGGAACTGACGGTGCTGTGGCCACCACATCTGAGCCCTGAGGCGAGTCACAGAGGACACTGTTCAACAGAGGCTAACAACGTTGATCATCACTACAGGGCCAGCCTGGAGATATTGGCGATGACAACAGGACAAGACACAGAAGGCCACGCTCCCTGTTGAGGCCTTTAATTATAAGCACGAGACTCTGCCAACAGGAAGGGAATGGGCAGTCCTGAAGCTGACGGTTCCCAGCGACCCTACTCTGCTGCCACTCCCTTCCCAGCCCCACCCAGCCTCCTGCTCGGACGGGCGTTTGCTGCAGTGGTGTCCCCAGAAGAAAAGGCCAGCTCCCTGGACACCACACAGTGGCTGGATGCCCCACTGGACACACACTCAACGTCTGTCCTGGGCAGGCCAGACAGCCCCCTACTTATCCCCAACAAAGCCACCCCCACCCCCACCGTAGCACACTTTTTTGGTGTGATACCCACAGAAAGGCAAAGGAAGGCAACCAGGTCAGCCTCATCAGCCCCAGTGATCAACTGGGTAAGGGATACCACAGAGCAATGGACCCTCCATGGTAGGCTCTCACTTAGGAGAGGACAAAGGAGCTGTCTTCTTGGGGCTACGTAGACCAGACACCAGGCCCTGTCACGGGTACCCAGGACCCTCAGCAGGGGACTTGAGACGAGTCTGGCTAGACTGTGCTGCACAGACACACGGGGCTCCACGAAGTCTTCAGGGATACAAAGGAGATTCTCGTCTCCCCAATCCAATGCCAACCCACCTGACTTCTTCCTTTGGAAATGCCAACAAGGTTACTGATGCTGAGTAATACACACAAGATAGCAGTAATACTCTGCCATCTACTGAGTACCTAAGGCAGGGAGTGCTGCATCCTGCCTGGCTTTGCAGGAAGACTGTTTTAAGTTGGGGAAGCAGACTGCAACCCCGCAGAAAGCAGGTGCAGTCACTGATGAGGTTGGCCAGTGGTGGCAGGGTTTACCTTCGTAACTCCTGAAGGATTCAAAGAGCTGCACCAGGGACTGTGTGCCCAGCTGCTCGTGGTACTTAGAGGCCACCTGCACATACAGCTGCAGGTTCTGTCTGATGTTAGCAGATAGCATGGCATGCAGACACTCCACAGAATCCTCCGCGAATAAGGAGCCAAAGAAATTGACAAGCCACTGAGAATAAAAAAGAGTCTGTTCACAGCTGTGTACCACCTTAAATATTGATAACACTTAGAAAATAACTGGATTGTCCCCCCACTCCCCCAAGGGTCAAAAATAAAAAGAATTTCCACTTAAAAGGACTGAAAACCAACTATGGATCATAGGAAAAAGTAGGAGCAAGGGGTAAATTTGAGATGAGATGCATCCCAGAACATTCCCCAGTTGGTACCAAACTATTCTGCCAACTGGAACACCACCACTATTTTCAGCTTGTGCTAATGGTTTCAGACAGCCCTGCTAGGCTGTCAGTGTTAAAAGGTTATCTCTAGTCTGCCACTGGATCAAGTCAAAGGCGGACATTGGAAAGAAAGGTGACATGGGGCCCAGACATACTGCGGGCAGGTAAATGTGTGTGGCTGCCCCAGAACTGCTTTGCAGTGAAGTACGAGGGGCAGGGCAGTGACAGGCTCATGCCTCAGTCTCACAGTAACCAACAGGCAGACATGCAGGACCATGTGGCGCTCACCACTGCACAGACACCAGCAACAATGGGAGTGCCCTGGTGGCACACGTACCTCAGGATTGAGGAGGTGTGTGTACACAAGGGTCCTCTTGACGGCGTGGAGGTCAGTGTAGTGCTCCAGTGCTTGCTGCAGCAGGCCGGCCTTCTCACACAGCTGGGCAATGTGGGCGTGATCGTAGTGAGTGAACACCTGATTTCCCAGCATGGCATCCGCAACCTGTGAAGCCTGATCGGTGGCAATAACTTTTTAGGAGCAGCTGCTCAACTGTGCCGCAGGGCAGGGTAGAGCTCAGGAAGCAGCTTCCACACGCAGGTGTCCAGGCAGCAGCTGCACGGTGGTGCCGTCCTTCAAGTTGTCTGAGGCCCTTTGCACAGACTCCATCCTCCCACACCGCAGAGCCAGGTCTGGCCCATGTGGCCGTGGAGTCGGGCAGGTGAGGAAGGCTGAGGCCCCACAAACCCCTATAATGGGGATAAGTCTGGTCACTGTGGAGGCTTTTCAGTAATCACTCTCTTCTAGGGTTTCTGTGGCAAGATCAATGTGAGGGTTCACATCTACCAGAGCCTCTTCAATGAGCTCAGCCCTTGGACTGGCAACAACAGAATAGACCTGAATGTAACATATCCTATTTGTGTTCACAAGACTTCTCTACTAGGTTAAAGGCAAAACTAGGAGTTGGGGGTTGCATTTAAAAACCAATAAACAGGCCAGGCACGGCAGCTCATGCCTGTAATCCTAGCACTCTGGGAGGCCGAGGCAGGCGGATTGCTCAAGGTCAGGAGTTCGAAACCAGCCTGAGCAGGAGTGAGACCATGTCTCTACTATAAATAGAAAGATATAGGCCAGGTGCGGTGGCTCACGCCTATAGTCCTAGCATTCTGGGAGGCCGAGGCAGGCGGATTGCTCGAGGTCAGGAGTTCAAAACCAAAATTGAGTAAAAAATTGGCCAACTGATATATATAAAAAAAAATTAGCCGGGCATAGTGGTGCATGCCGTAGTCCAGCTACTCGGAGGCTGAGCAGAAGGATCACTCGAGCCCAGGAGTTGAGGTTGCTGTGAGCTAGGCTGACGCCACGGCACTCACCACCTGGACAACAAAGTAAGACTCTGTCTCAAAAAAAAAAAAGTTTTAAAAAAAAAATAAAAAAATAAAAATAAACCAATAAACAGGCCAGGCACGGCAGCTCATGCCTGTAATCCTAGCACTCTGGAGGCCGAGGCAGGCAGATTGCTCAAGGTCAGGAGTTCGAAACCAGCCTGAGCAGAGTGAGACCATGTCTCTACTATAAATAGAAAGATATAGGCCAGGTGCAGTGGCTCACGCTATAGTCCGAGCATTCTGGAGGCCGAGGCAGGCGGATTGCTCGAGGTCAGGAGTTCAAAACCACCCTGAGCAGAGTGAGCACCTGTCTTTACTATAAATAGAAAGAAATTAATTGGCCAACTAATATATATAGAAAAAAATTACCTGGGCATGCTGGCGCATGCCTGTAGTCCCAGCTACTCGGGAGGCTGAGGCAGAAGGATTGCTTGAGCCCAGGAGTTTGAGGTTGCTGTGAGCTAGGATGACGCCACGGCACTCACTCTAGCCTGGCAACAAAGCGAGACTCTGTCTCAAAAAAAAAAAGAAAAGAAAGAAAGAAATTAATTGGCAACTAAATTATATTAGAAAAAATTAGCCGGGCATGGTGGCACATGCCTGTAGTCCCAGCTACTTGGGAGGCTGAGGCAGAAGGATTGCTTGGAGCCAGGAGTTTGAGGTTGCTGTGAGCTAGGCTGACGCCACGGCACTCACTCTACCTAGGCAACAGAGCGAGACACTGTTCAAAAAAAAAAAAAAAAAAAAAATTAGCCGGGCATGTGACGCATGCCTGTAGTCCCAGCTACTCGGGAGGCTGAGGCAGCAGGATTGCTTGAGCCCAGGAGATTGAGGTTGCTGTGAGCTAGGCTGACGCATGGCACTCACTCTAGCCTGGACAACAAAAGTGAGAGTCTGTCTCAAAACAAAACAAAACAAACAAAACAGAACCAATAAACATTCCTGGAAAGAATTTGATGAGGCTTAACATTGTCTTTAAGTAAGTAATTTCTGGGCTAAGAATGCAACTCTGTCTCTGGCTTGAGTGATCTTACCCTCAGTACCTACACCAGTCACTGGTCTTGACGTGCGTCCTGGGACCTCCCTTGCTGCCCAGCACATGCTTTCCGTTCCTTCTATGGTCTGCAGCACCAACTAGATGCAGTACTGAGGGGTGGAGTGCAGTGTGTGGGTGGCCTAGCTACAGTGTGCTGGTGAGGCTTAGGCAGGATCCTGGGCAGGGACCTCCTGGCCAGCAACACAGTCACGGGGAGCTCAGCTGGCTGACGTCCTGCCTGCTGCAGAGGCTGGGAGAAACTGTGGAATAGGGAAGGTGGGAAAGGAGTGAGGCCTGCTCAGGCTGCCAACTGGGGTATCAGACAGACCTCCCACATGCAGACTTTCTGGCTGAGTGGGCCATTTCAGCCCCTCCCTGGCAGCTCTGCCCAGAAACAGAGAACAGATTTTTGACCCCTGCTAACATGCTTTGTGGAGCTTGAGTCAGGCCACCAACCCAGCCTCACCTCACTCCACTACTGAGGTGAGAATAAGGACACACCTGGAAGACTCTCCCACACCCCTGGAGGCTCTCCTCACCCCCTGAGGCACTAGCGTGCCTCTCCAGAGGAAGAAGAGCTGGTTACAGGACCCAAAACACACTCAGCTTGCTCCTCCCAGCAAGTGCCACCTACTGGCAGGGAGGTCATTTTGCAGCCTTTTACTGCATTTATTGACTCATCACACAGGGTGTGTTGAATCTACCCATTAGCACCACCTACTGAAAGGGAGGTCAATTTGCAATGTCCTTTTACTGCATTTACAGACTCATCATACAGGGTGCGGTTGATTCTCACCCTCAAGCAACCACTACTGGCTCAGAGACTAACTGGCTCTGTCATTATCTCAACAAAAAGAAAATCCAAAGGTAAGAAGCGAACAGCTGCTCCAGATGAGAAAGAGTCAGCAAAAAACTCCAGAAGTATAAAGATCAAACTGAAAGGACACCCTCCAAAAGGGAACACCAGATCTCTAGCAATGGATACAACCAAAATCAAAACACAATGACAAATGAAGATTTTGAACATGGATTGTAAGAAAACTGAAATGAAATGCAAGATAAATGGATACAAACACAAAATCACAAAATGAATGCAGAAAGTGGATGAACAAATACTATAGAAATTGAAATTAAGGACAAATCAAACACGACTTCTGGAAATGAAAATTCACTTAAGGAATTATAAAATACAGTAGAAAGCCTTAAGAACAGGTATATCAGGCAGAAGAAAGAATCTCAGAGACTGAAGACACCACTTTTGAATTAAACAAGTCAGTCACAGAGATAGAGCAGAGAAATATGAGGAACGAACAAAGCCTATAAATATGGATTATGTGAAGAGGCCTAACAGAAGAATCACAGGCATCTCTGAGGGTGAAGAAGAAAATACATAAGGGTTGAAAATCTATTGATGTATAATGGAGAAAATTTCTCTGGTCTTGCTAGAAATCTAGCTATCCAGTATAAGAAGCTCAAAGGACTCCTGGGCGATTCATTGCAAAGAGGAAGACACCATGACACATAGTCCATCAGACCTGAACAAATAACAACCAAAAAGGCCCTCCTATGACCATAAGGCGAAAAGCAGCAGGTAACCTACAAAGGAACTCTATCCACTAACTGCAGACTTCTCAACTGAGACCTACAAGCCAGATGGGACTGGAGCCCCATTCTCAGTCTTCTCAAACAGAATAATGCCCAGCTAGAATTTTGAATCTGGAAAAAATGAAGTTTCTTATATGAGAGAAAATAAAGACCTTTTCAGACAAACAAAACTGAGGAATTTCATCCAAGACAAGACCTGCTCTCCAGGAATACTCAGAACATAGTATACACAGATCAGCACAAATACAATACCTCACAAAAGATGAGGAAGGCTGAGGCCACACAACCCCTATAATGGGGATAAGTCTGGTCACTGTGGAGGCTTTCAGTAATCACTCTTCTAGGTTTCTGTGGCAAGATCAATGTGAGGGCACATCTACCGCTCTTTCAATGACACAGCCTTGGCTGGCAACAACAGAATAGACTGAATGTAACTTCCTATTGTGTTCACAAGACTTCCTACTAGGTTAAAGGCAAAACTAGGATTGAGGTCATTAAAAACCATAAAACAAGGCGGCGCTGTGTCACGCCTGTAATCCTAGCTCTGGGAGGCGCGAGGCGGGCGTTGCTCCAAGGTCAGGATTCAAAACCAGCCTGAGCAAGAGCGGACCGTCTCTACTATAAACAGAAAGAAATTAAGTTGGCCAACTGATATATATAAAAAATATAGCCGGGCATAGTGGTGCATGCCGTAGTCCCTACTGGGGGGGCAGAAGGATCATCGAGCCCAGGAGTTTGAGGTTGCGTGGCTAGGCTGACGCCACGCACTCACTCAGCCTGGACAACAAAGTAAGGATCTGTCTCAAAAAAAAAAAGTTTTAAAAAAATAAAAAAAAAATACCAATAAACAGGCCAGGCACGGCAGCTCATGCCTGTAATCCTAGCACTCTGGAGGCCGAGGCAGGCAGATTGCTCAAGGTCAGGAGTTCGAAACCAGCCTGAGCAGAGTGGAGACCATGTCTCTACTATAAATAGAAAGATATAGGCCAGGGGCAGTGGCTCACGCCTATAGTCGAGCATTCTGGGAGCCGAGGCAGGCGGATTGCTCGAGGTCAGGAGTTCAAAACCACCCTGAGCAAGAGTGAGACCTGTCTTTACTATAAATAGAAAGAATTAATTGCCAACTAATATATATAGAAAAAATTAGCTGGGCATGCTGGCGCATGCCTGTAGTCCCAGCTACTCGGGAGGCTGAGCAGAAGATTGCTGAGCCCAGGAAGTTTGAGGTTCCTGTGAGCTAGGATGACGCCACGGCACTCACTCTAGCCTGGCAACAAAGCGAGACTCTGTCTCAAAAAAAAAAGAAAAAGAAAGAAAAAAATTAATTGGCAACTAATATATATAGAAAAAATTAGCGGGCATGGGTGGCACATGCCTGTAGTCCCAGCTACTTGGAGGCTGAGGCAGAAGGATTGCTTGAGCCAGGAGTTTGAGGTTGCTGTGACTAGGCTGACGCCACGGCACTCACTCTAGCCTAGGCAACAAGAGCGAGACACTGTCTAAAAAAAAAAAAAAAAAAAAATTAGCCGGGCATGGTGACGCATGCCTGTAGTCCCAGCTACTCGGGAGGCTGAGGCAGCAGGATTGCTTGAGCCCAGGAGATTGAGGTTGCTGTGAGCTAGGCTGACGCATGGCACTCACTCTAGCCTGGACAACAAAAGTGAGAGTCTGTCTCAAAACAAAACAAAACAAAACAGAAAACCAATAAACATTCCTGGAAAGAATTTTGATGAGGCTTAACATTGTCTTTAAGTAAGTAATTTCTGGGCTAAGAATGCAACTCTGTCATCTGGCTGAGTGATCTTACCCTCAGTACCTACACCAGTCGCTGGTCTTGACGTGAGCTCCTGGGACCTCCCTTGCTGCCCAGCACATGCTTTCCCATTCCTTCTATGGTCTGCAGCACCAACTAGATGCAGTACTGAGGGGGTGGAGTGCAGTGTGTGGGTGGCCTAGCTACAGTGTGCTGGTGAGGCT